TGGAGAACAAGGTGGAAGCTGTTGTCTCCACAGGAGCTCTCAAGAGTGAATTGACATAGACTTTTTTGGAGGACATTGGCTGGAGACCCTGGTAGTGCTGCTGGATGTGTTGTTTCTCTCCTGCTGAAGAGGAGAGTGAATTTGCTCTTAAGCCATGTGGTCTTGTGCTGTGCCAGATAGCAGTACCACTAGAGGCTGAGTTGTGAGGAAAGCAATAAATGTGAGACCTTGCATTTAAATGCAAGAGTTTCACATTAGTCCTCCTTTTGGGAGTAATTTGTGTTTCTCAGGTTTTTGTTCTCTCCAGCCTTTTCTTGCAATAAAGGCAGCTCAGGGCTCCTACCTTTGAATGGGGAATCTGCCTCTGGTGCCGGTGGAGGCTGCAGTCCCAGGTCTTTGGGAGGACAGAGCTGTCAGCAGCTGGGAGGATGGGAAGGATAACAAGGGGAGGAGGAGGGCCAGTGGTGCTTGGATGCAGAATGCCTGCAGTTGTCAGTGAGTGTATGAGCAGCCCTGTGAAGTCAGTAGTTATAGGCAATGATTTTTGTGGCCAAAGTGAGAGCAGGAGTATAGGCACAGGGTGCTGGGACTGGATTGGGCTCCCCCAGGCTGGTTTGGAGGGCTGGCACAGAGACCTCAGGAACATAAAAGGCCTCCCTCTCTTCACCTCAGCTCTGTGTGAGTAGGAGGAGTGTTCAGTGCTGGTTCTCCCCTCAGATATGCAGCAGCACGGGTGCGCCATGAGCTGGAAGGCACACGATGGGGAAGTCTACTCCGTGGAGTTCAGCTATGATGAGAACACAGTCTACAGCATAGGAGAGGATGGCAAGGTAGGCTGGGGATGGCCTCCTACTGCTCAGCTGGCAGAGAGGTTACTTCTGGAGTCTTCTCCATATAGTGGGGACAATCATAAAAATATGCTCAGATTCTGGATGAAATGTGGGCTGCTAACTGCAGTCTTAGGTGTGCAGTACCACCCTGCTCCAGGTAATCTGCAGAGAGAGTGGCTGAAAAATGTGTTCATAGTTGGAGCAGTCTTTGACCTTGTGTGAAAATCCTCCTGTTGGTGACATCCCTTTTCTAAATAGTCCATGTGAGGATGACCTTTCTCTGACCTGAGATCACCACATTTGAGATCTGGGATTCACAGGGAAGCGTATCCTTGACCACCTTGCATAAATCTCATCAGCAGCTCCCTTTATAATTGTTATTGTAATTGTTATTATTGTTTATAATAAACACTGCAATTTCTGCAGTTCTTCAGTCTTCAGCAGTAGAGAGAGGTGTGGCTCAGGGAGGGACTTGGCTGAGGAGTAAAGCAAGTTCTCACCAGAGTACTGCATGCAGTATGGAAAGACACATAGGCAGTAGTGCTTGAGGAAGGCAGGGCATATCTTTGCCTGGATAGAAGGCACTCTTACAGCCTTTGCAGCCTGTGTTTTATTAATATATATAGTCATTAGGTATAGATGTCAAAATGCCATCTTTGTTTATGAGAAATACCCACTATTTTGCTTAAAAGCAAAAAAAGGCTACTGCACTTGCATCCCAGTTAATTTCGTTATAGGCTTTTCTCATCTCTTTTTCTCATTCTAGTTTATTCAGTGGAACATCCATAAAAGTGGCTTGAAGGTGTCTGAGTATGACCTTCCCAGGGAAGCTACAGGTCCTTTTATTCTGTCTGGGTACAGTGGCTACAAGCAAGTCCAGTTCCCACGAGGACGGCTTTTTGCTTTTGACTCTGAGGGCAATTACATGTTGACATGTTCTTCTACTGGGGGAGTAATTTTTAAGGTAAGTCTGAGAAGTGATGAGGACTACTCTTAAGTATCCATACAAACTTCTGTTAATTACAAGGGTGCAACAGCAGCCACTGGAAGTTTTTAAGCAGCACATACCCATCCTGGCTCTGTCAAAGCTGCTGCTCAGTTTCACACAGTGTGCATTTTAGCAGTATGTAGTGAGTGTACAGCAAGTGTTTGTGTCCTACAGCTGGAGTATTTGTGCTCTTTCTTAAAACCTAGCTTTTAGTGTCCAAGTGACTAGGACAAAGTTTTAATTACTTTTTTAATGTATGGATACATGCCAGTTCAATGCCAAATGTATGATTGTTGACTGGTGCTCATGTTCAATCTGCCTTTTGTGCCTGCTGATTCTATGTTAGACCCAGCCTGATCCTCTTCCCTTACCATGTACTGAATTTAAACAAAGGAAAAGGCTGAATGGTTCTAAGTGCCTAAATTTCTGTGCTTCATTAACAAGTGTTACTTGTCACGTGCCCATGCTCTTGCAAGGCAGATTAGAATCGGAATTTTTACTTTGCATCTGGAGCACCCAGAGCACCTGAACTAACATGAGCTATAGCTTAGGCTTATGTGCTTCTCATCAGTGTATGCTCTTAGCCTGCCTTGTTCAATTACTGCAGTTCAGTTGATGTCAGAAGTTGAGCTGCCTGAGAGCACATGCTACTGTAGTGAGACTGGAAGCTTCCTTTCCCATGTGTGCTACACACATCTCGGTATCTCTCTGATTTTCTTCTTACTTAGTGTGCTTTCTGCATGCTCTTAGAGACAGAGTGTCTCTATCAGGCTTTGGCTTGTCCTGGGTGCATTGCCCCCACTGCAGAAACATACCTCCTTAAAATCTTATGCTTTCCTTCTTTTTAGTTAAATGGTGAGGAAAAGGTTCTGGAGAGCTGCCTTTCCCTGGGAGGACACCGAGCTCCTGTTGTCACAGTGGATTGGAGCACAGCCATGGACTGCGGGACCTGCCTCACTGCTTCTATGGATGGGAAAATTAAATTAACAACCTTACTGGCTCAAAAGTCTTAACCTGGACAGTACTGAAGGGGGAAAGAGCAGTAGAGCTGACAAACCCAGTGTTAACTCACAGGAACAAACTGCATGGGAGAGAAGGCAAAGCGAAGTCCCTCTTCTCATTGTAGCTTTTGCCTCTTGATAAATACATTTGCCAAACCACTGTGCAACAGAATGCCAGTATGGGACTGGATCAGTGGCAGCACTGAAAAATAAGTCTCCACTAATCCATTGTGGCAGCTGGACTTCCCTCTGTTAGGGAGTCTTGAGTAGCACGTGGCTAAAAGGCTGTGGTCACGTCAGGGTTCTGCAGAAGAAGGTGAGGCTGGAGGAAGCAAGCATGAGGCAGCACAGTGCATGACAGTAAGATGACTCAAACTGGAAAGGCTGATGAGAAACCAGAGTATTCTTGGTATAACATTTGTTCTTATGATTTTGTTAGTTTGTTTTTATTTGGTATTTTTCTGTAAAAAGAAAATATTCCCTTGCATTTGAACTCTATGCTTTGTTCAGCAGTTGCTGCAAAACATGGAGGGTGGTGAGGGCAGTGATGTGCCAAGTCTCCTGCATGCAAAAAAGCTCTTGTGTTTTCACCAGGTGCTTCCAGCACCACATCTGCACACCAAGGTGAACCAGACATCCAGGAACAAAAACAACTGCATTTGCTTGGATGTATTGTGTTACCTTGGCATAGGTATCTGCTACCAACCAGAGCAGAAATTTGAGTCAGACTTTGAAATACTTATGTTGGAGTTCAGAAGCTACATAATGCCTAGCAGGTACCTGATGGTGGGTAGGGGGAGGGAGGCCAGGACCAGTCTGGCCCTGTATAGGGCTCTCTGTCACTGGAGCTGTCTCTCCCCCTAAGCCCCCAACATCAGGCAAGTGCTGATGGTATTGCATAGCCTTTGAATGGACTAAGCAGATACATTTTATCTGCTTACACATTGCCATGGAGCTTTCTGCTGCTTATGTCCTTGGCCTGTATTGGGAGTTTGTGGTACTGTTGTTCCTTGGCAGAGCATACACTGTGCTGGAAAATGAACAGCCATTCATGAGCCATATGGGTAGCCATTCTCACAGAGAGCTGTTCAAGGATAACACTGCTGGATACTGAAATCCTCACTACAGGCATATTCATGCTACAGGTACCTGTTGTCCATGGAGTAACTTGCTCCTGCTGACTACACTCCTCTTAAAACCCCACCTTCCGTTCTCCAAGACTAACATGTCCCCTGCTAGACTGACATCTAAGTACAGGCTTTCCTGTACTTAGATGGAGTGGGATGTGATATTAATGGTGCAACTGCTCTTCATGCCAGTCTGAGCTAATGTCCCCTCAAATCCAGTGCTGACTTTGAACTGGCTTCAGGAATTCCCCGGGTTAGTCTGGGAGTTTAGAGAGCTCTCAAATGGGAGCCTTTGTTTACCTCTCAAAAGGCCAAGAAAGATTGTGGCTGTATTCCAAGCCCTGCAGTGGTGACTACATTGCATAGGGGTTTTAGAATTTAGAATTACAAAATTACAGAATGGTCTGGGTTGGAAGGGACTTAAAGCTCTTCTAGTTCCAACTCTGCCATGAGCACAGCCACCTTCCACTAGACCACGTTGTCCAAAGCCCCATTTAATCCGGTCCTGAACCCTACCATGGATGTTACTTTGTTCCAGATGTTATCTTCCAGCCCTCACAGAGGGTCAGTTGAGGTTTCTGGAGAGAGACTACTTTCAGGTTTGCTTCATAAGTAGGACTATGAGCAAAACAAAACCCCCAGACAGGGAAAGAAAGTATAAAAAACATGTGCCAGTCCAAGGCTGCTATGCAAGATGATAGTGCATTAGCACAACGTTGATACTGTGCCAGAAACCTGGAGGGAAGGAATGGACATGTTGTTTTGCTAGAACAATGCTCAACATGCTGTATTCCCAGAGGGGCTTTTACCCCATCCTTGGCCCAGGCTCCCCTCTCCTCGCTTCCCGGCACGAGTCCCCGCCGCTCCGGCGGAGCGCTGCTGCCCTGTGCGCCCGGGCCTGCAGAGGGCGCCCCGGCGGCGGCGGGCGCGCTCGGGGCGGCACCGTAACCGAGCGCTCGGGGCGGCACGGCGGCACCGTAACCGAGCGCTCGGGGCAGCACCGAAACCGAGCGCTCGGAGCGGCACGGCGGCACCGTAACCGAGCGCTCGGAGCGGTACGGCGGCACCGTAACCGAGCGCTCGGGGCGGCGTCGGGCCCGGCCCGCCAGGCTGCCCCAGGGCTCGGAGGCTGCACGCCTCGTTCCCAACGCGCCGTCTGCTGCGCAGCTGGCTCAGAGCCGTGTTTGCTCCTTGACGGAGTATCGAGGAACGCGATATTGCCTGCCTGCCTGATCAAACACGGGACTCTGTCGTGACTTGGGTTTTAGGGCGGCCTGGGGCTGTTTTTCCAGCTCCCCTGCACTCCCGGTCGGGCGGGAAGCAGCCCCGGTGTGCCGGCGGAAGGCGCCCCGGCGGCACCGCCCCGCGTGGGCATGGCGGCTGGGGCCCGGCGGCGGCAGCTCCCGGCCTGGATGGGGGCGGCGGGGGACGGGCGGGCGGTGGCGGCCCCGGCCCCAAGCGCCGGGCGGCGACGAACGGCGGCGGGGCGCAGGTAGCGCTGCTGGGGCGGGGCAGCGGCCGGGGCGGCGGGCGGGAGGGCGAGCCCAGCGCTGCCCACGCTGAGCGTCCCCTGTGCATTGCCCAGGCCGGCGGCGCTGTACTGCATGAACGAGGCGGAGCTGCTGGAGGTGGCCCTGGCGGTCCTGGCCGAGGTGAGCCGGGACCTCCGGGGGTGGGGGCGGCAGGGCTCCGGAGGACGGGCAGGGAGCGCTGCTGCCCGCGGCTCCCTGGCGGCCCTCTCCGGGCGGGCCGGAGGGCGCTGCCGGTGCTGCATGGCTTTCCCGGCCTCTCCTCTCTGTCCCAGCTGCCCTGCTGCCTTTGCGAAGCAGAACCGCGGGCCTGGGGCCTGGCGAGGCGTGGCTCACGGGCATGGTGGGCTGCCCTCCTGCTCCTTGGGTGCTCCCGGCATGAAGTCATGCACGGCCGGCAGTTGTTGTTTTCCCTCTGGTCAGAATCTACAGAGCGAGGAGGGTGAAGAGAAGGCCCGGTCCGGGAGCGAAGAGGAGCAGGAGATCCCGCCAACCCCAAACGAGGTTCCTGGAAGCACGGCCTGCACGGATGGAGGCAGTGACCGCGGTCCGGCACTTCCGTCCCCTCCTGCTGCTGCTGCTGACGCAGAGGGCACAGGCGGGGAGAACTCTGAGGACGATGTCCTGAAATACGTCAGGGAGATCTTTTTCAGCTAACATCTCTGACTTCCCAGGCGAAGAGGGCACAGTGGGGAGGGTGTCTCCTCCCGCGGCCCTGGGAACGGAGGGAGGAGGGCCTGGAGGGGGCTGTGCGTCCATCTGCTGTGTCGGTGCCCTGTGTAGCTGGTAGGATACCCAGGAAGGCCAGAGGGGGAAAGGAAGGAGGTACTCAGTTCTCCCAATCTATGCTGGGCTCAGTGGGATTTGGCTCCAGATTAGGTGTTCATTTCTGTTTCACATTTCAGAGCATGGACAGATAAAAGAAGACACTCGGGTTTCTGTGAGTTATCCCTTTGGTGGGTTGGTGTTTGTTGGGCATGGAGGCAAGCAGGGAGCTGCTGACCTGGAAGACCTTTGCTGGCAGAGCTACATGGTCGTGGTTCAGCCTTGAGGCTCCCTTGTCCTTGTGGTCCCTCTGTCACAGCTGCAGAGGGCAGGCTGTTCCCATTGGGACTGGTGCTGAGTTTGCCTCCAGGCTCCAGCTGTCTTCCCAATGTTGAGGAACACGAATGGGGGCAGACTGGCAGGGGCTGGACTGCCCTGAGGGGGCTGACCCCGTGGAGTGGCCAGCGTGCATGGGGGTCTGGGAAGGGATGAAGATGGCTCAGTGTCCTCTTCCCAATCAAAAAAAAAGGACAAAGAAACCACATGAGGCCAGCTGGGAGAGCATGTATTGAAATGAAGAATCGGTGAAATCAGCATCACCAGCCTCATTCCCACCAAGGCTGAAGCAAGAGAAAACAGACCCTCATGTCCCTTGAAACAAATTCACTCAACTGCAAAGAATATCACTGTTAAGCAAACATTCTTTATTTACGTAAATTCTCCCAGTCACTGGATGAATTAATGCAGCATGTACTTACAAAGCTGTTACATATTCACTACACAGAAAATTCAATAACATAAAACTCCGGTTTTGAAAAATGATTATATGGACTGGAGTTAACCGTTTCAGTGTTTTCCGCCATCTAGTGTCCTTTAGGGGTTATTACTACCCCCTGTAGGGGTTTTGCTGGTCGTTGAATCGTCTTCCTCACTTGTTCTTTTATTGCACTTTCTTAGTTGGTGCATGCTCAGTCTGTTATCTTGTTTTCAAACTACAAACCTCCTTCTTTCTCGTGTTACTTCTGTATCGTCCTAGATGGCTTTCTTCACAGCCTTGAAGGTTGGTTATTGATTGGCTGTTTAAGTGATATGTATCCTGTCTAGTTATGAAGAAATTATCTATTTGGTTACATTTTCCTGAACATTTGTTAGTTCCTAGTTAAACATAATGTACAGATCCTGTTTTCAAACTCCCTTTCTTATATGGTAGGGCCAAATGTATTAAAAGCATTTTGTTAGTTAATTACAAATTTAATCACATACTTTGAGGTACTAGCAACTTTTTTTACTTAGACTAGGTATGAGCAAAGGGCTGTGCCCACTGGTAGCTAGTTCTGCTACCTTCACTGCTCTTTGGGGCCAGAAGTGCTGTCACTTTGATGCTGTGCCCCAAACTGAGGGGTGTTACATGCTGTTGTACCTGGGCAGCTTCTGTGCTGTGGCTGTTGTCTGCTGCCAGGTTGAGGCAGGAATGCTGCACGCAGCAATGTGCCAGAGGATGGCTGGACACAAGCCTTTGGACTGGGAATCAGATTTTTGCTAGGGAGTAAGGCTGTATTTGGATTACAATTTTAAAATCATGTTACCAAAAGCTCTTGCATCTTCTTCGCTGTCAAATCTTAGTGGGCAGGGCCTCCTCAGTTAAATGGTTTTGACACATATGTGTGTGCTTGGTCCAGCTGAGGTACACAGTGACAGTGAGAATCTGGAGCAGTAGCAGAGCCTGAGTCCCAAGCAGTGCCAGGAAACCTCCAGTGAAATCAGAGGGATGAATCCAATGTGAGGTTTGTAAAAGAAACATACCCAGGCCTCCAGACAGGATTATCATCTTGATGAAGAGTATGATGCGAATCATCTTCCATCCCTCTCCCTGCCCTTTAAATGTGCAATTCACATTTAAAACAAAAGGGAGGTGGAAGAGGATGAAGACCAGGCAGCTATACACACAAACCCTGGCCAGTCCCAGTTGCAGTGGGCTGATGCCCATTGCCTGCAGATGCTCGGTGTCCAGGCACTGCAGCTCCCCAGCTGTACCATTCCACAGGCAGAAGTTGTAAAAGCCAATGCGTTTGTCAGGGAGGTTCACCAGGTTCCCGGCCTCATACAGCAGAGCGTAGGACACCAGGGCCAGGGTCCCAACAGCCTCCAGAAGAGCCAGCATGGGCAGCAGCTTCTTGGCACACCACTGTGGCAGCACGCCCATCCTGGAGCCTGCATGCTTTCTTGCTACCATGGTAAGAGCTGTTGTGGGGATGCCTGTTGCAAAACATGAAGGGGGGACTCCTCAGTTGTTGCCTCTTATGGCACCCTTCCCGAGACGGGCTCTGAGCCTTATGCCTGGGGTCTAGGGACTCCCCTTGCAAACAGAACAGGAGTGTCTCAGTCCTGCCTAGGACTGTGCTGCACATGAGTTACTGCACTGTGAGGGGGGTGCATTTGGTGCACTTCTGGTCACGGCAAAGGTGGCTTAATGGTGGACCAGTACTGGGAGGAGAGTATGACTCAGCTTCACACATGCCCTTTGCATCATGATCTCATTGGAAAAGGCATTTGTCAGCAAATTGCAGGGATGGGAGGAGAGAAAAACTGCTGTCTGGTAAGAAGCATGATAAGAGCTATTCCGGGATAATGCCTTTCTTTCAGCTTTTATCAGACAAGGACATCCCTTTTGATCCTTGGACTACTGAGTAAAGAGCAGATGTGACAGGATCTGAACTGCAGGGCTCCCCTTGCCTCCCTGCCCTTGTCCTATAGCTCTGGAACACCCAGTGCCATTGATATGGGTGTGAAATGGGTGGCCATTTCCAGCATTTCCACCTGGAGCTCTGCTACCCACTGAGGCTGGTAGACATGGTGCTCCTCTGTCTCGGTTGCCTGGGGAGCAGTGCCCTACACAGACAGGCAGGTGCCAAGCTCAGAGAGGCACTCTGGATCCTCCTGCAGCCACTGGGACATGGGTGCTACTGAGACACACCTGGGATTGGCATCCACCTTGCTCCTCTCTCAGGCTGGTTGGCAAACCTGACTCTGCTCCTCTCCCCGGAATGTGTACTGTCCTCTAGTGCCGTCCTGTAGGCTTCTGCTTCACACTGAAAAACAGGGAAGTGGCATCAGGAAAGGCTATCACTGCCTGCAGAGTCATATGGCATTGAAGCACTCTCCACCCAGGTCTGCAGAGAGGCATAAACACAGGACTCAAGGGACCTTGGCTTCAAGCCCAGCCTTGGGCTTGAGGCTTTGCAATTAACTCTTCCTCCCTCTGACAAGCTTCAGCTGCTGAGAATAATTTACCACTTTCCTTTAAGAAGTTCACATTGGCCCTACTGTCCCCTTCCACTGCCTATTACCCAGTGGTATATCATTTACTTAAGAATTGGACTCTGGGTCCCTTCCAGTTCAGAATAGTCTGTGAATCTGTGATAACCTGGATGTCCTCCCAGACCATCACCCAAAGCTGATTATGAATTTGGTACGGCCTCTGAGTTTTTAGAGTGCCAGAAGAGACTCTACTCAATCTGTACTCAGTGCCTGGTGGTGGTGCTGCTGACTAGAGACCCTGCAGCATTCCCCTCCCACTCCTCATCTCTCCCTGGAAACTTGGAAGTGGGGCACCTCTGTTTAATGAGCACAAAGATGAAGCTTCTCAGTCCCGAACTTCTCCCAAGAGAACACACAGCATGGAAGGGGGGTCACAGCATTAGACACCAACCTGTCCACTTCCCCTGGTCGCTTTTCCCTCACTTCTTGTAGCCTCCCTTGGAGGGCTTCTTCTCAAAAGGCTTCTGGAGAGACTGGAAGCTCACATGGAGGATGCCCATTGTTCTGAATCTGCAATGAAGACACAGGAAAAATATCTGTGCTTGGCCACAGGATGTGCTGCAAAATCAGACCTCTGGTGAAATGTAATTCACCATGGTTTCTCTTTCCCCTAGTGTTGTTGCTTGGTTTGTCTGTCTTACACATGGTCTCCTGCACCCAGGCATTGCTGCTCTTCCTGTCCTGCGAGGGCTCACACCACTCATTGTTCTTCCTGCTGCCCTGCCTTACCCTGAGAGGAAGAACAAGCTGCACTTGGAGGGAGTTCTTGGCTGGCTGACCAGGTCTACAGGGATTTCTGCAGCCCAGCTGACTCTTGGCCCTGCCCGCCCACCCACCAACCCTTGCTGTTGTATTTCTTTAGACCAGTTTCCTGGGGAAGGCAGGCTTGTAGAAAGGTGGCTTTTTGTTCAGTCATCTCATGCTCACTCCCTTGGTATCCATAAAATGTACAAGCTATTAAAATTTGTCCTAGTTGCACATGTTTACTAGAGAGGGGACAGAATTAAATTCCTATCAGGTTTATGGTAACATATGGCAGGGGTGGAGGACAGCCACCTCAGAGACCCTGTGCTGCTGTGTGATCTCTGCATGCATGGGGACCTGGGGAAAGCCCATGGTATCTCTGCCCTCTCCTCTGCTTTGAGGCTCATGTGTGTAAGGACATATTTTCCCAGCAATGTCCCTCTCTTCATGGTTAAATTGCTGGCATCTTTACCTCCTGCTGCTTCCCCAGCAGGTAAATCCCTGTCCCTACGTGTGACTGATAGGACCAGAAACATGCCTGGGATGGCCCTGTGCCAGCTGGATGGAGAACTGGCCTGGAGGCAGTGAAGGCTGAGACCTGGCACCCTGCCAGGGTGCAGCCACAGATAAGGACATTTGTGAGCTCTGCAGTTCATCACTGAGGCAGGTTTAGCAGCAGCCTGGCTGAGAAGCAAGAGACAAACAGGAAAGAGCTCTCGCCCAGTCTACAGCTTGGATTTTCCCAGACAGTCTCACTGCCTCTAAGGAGGTGTCTGTGCCTTTGGATGGGAAACTCTGTGGCTCTTCCTCAAAGGTGCAAGAAAGGGGAACATGAACATGGCACAGCAAGCCCCAGCCTAGAGTCAGCGTCCTTGTTCCTGGACTGGCATTGATGGAAACACTGGGTTTCACCATAGCAGAGCTCTGTGTCTCAGTCTCCCTGGCAGAGAGAGGGCCCATGGGAATGGCTCAGGAGCTCCCTGAGGTCTCTGTGTGGTCAGTAAGGCTCCTAGGCACCCTCTGTGCTTTTGGGACTGCACAGCCCTTTCCTCTGCTGCTCACAGGCAGTGGGCACCCTTGCCAGGCTGGGGCTGTGCCTTCCTCTGGCAAGCAGCTGGCAGAGCGCCTGGGCAAGGGGACAGGAAGGCACACAGCCCTGGCACCTGGACAAGGGGACAGGAAGGCACACAGCCCTGGCACCTGGGCAGGGGACAGGAAGGCACACAGCCCTGGCACCTGGGTTAGGGGACAGGAAGACACACAGCTCTGGAACAGGATCTGTGCAGGGACGAGCATCTCTGTGAGCCACTGGATGCCGCTGCAGTGGGGCTGAGTGCAAGGAGGCAAGGGAATGGGCATTTCCTTGGGCACTGTAGAGCCTCCCAGACAGTTTGACTTTCCTATCTCCCCTCTCCCTGGCTGCTGAGGGGAGAAATGCTGTACAAGAGTAATGGGAAAGCATCCCATGGATACTTTGGACATGACACTCTTCCTTCAAGACATCTGTCCCGTCCCTTCACCACCTCCCCACCCCAGCTATCCGGATCTGTTTCCCCCTCAGGTAGGATAAGCTGTGGAGAAACCATGGGTGACGAAAGGCCACTGACAAGCTAAGGAATGCTGGTAAACAGAAACCAACCAGCAGCAAATGGAACAGACTGTGGGGGAACTGCCCTAAAAGCAGGGGAAGGACCCTCCAAGACATCTGCACCCTGCAACACCACTTCTGGCCATCCTCCCCAGTGCCAGTGACATTAAAAAGCGGGGGTCTCAGTGGAGAATACTTACGGGCTGCCCATCTGGGTGGGTGCGGAGCTGAAACACGCTGCAGAGGGCTGTGGTGCCGGGATAGGATACAAGCGGTTCTGCGGCTGCTGCCGGTGCTGGGCTGGCTGCTGTCTGTCCCCAGCCTGTTTTTGTCACGTGCAGATAGCTATCTCTGCTTTCTCTTTCGGTTCTGAGGGCAGTGCTCTTTCCCGATACAGAGTCAGCTGCCTCTGACCAAGAAAACAAGCCAAGCCCAGCTCCACAACCTGCGCCAGGCTCAGGCTTGCGTTTCCTGTCCTTCTCCCTGCTGTGCCAACCAGCACGAAAACCTGACCGGGCTAAGCTCACCCCGGTTGCTGTGCTGTTAGAGTAGCTTGGGTGTCCGTGAGGGCTTAGATTAATTTGTTTCGTTTTGTTTGGACACTTCAGAG